AGGTTTTACATGACTGGAAGGAATTTAGTGTACAAATTAAACGCAACCTATTGGCCTGTTGGGTGAGGCAACCTAAAAGCATCTCCTGTGACGAAACAACTGCTATCTAACAAGATCTAACCAATAGTTGGCAACAACATTTGGCACTCAAACACTTTGATCAGTTGAATGCGAGCTCAAGTTTAAGACTATTTGGTTTGAGTTTAATCCCGGCCAGGGCCGACACCAAAAGTTACACGAATTAAGTATTTGAATTGGACCATGACTATGTCAAGCTGGTCAGTCATGCTAATCAACGGCCCATTTAGTCTGTCTTTTCATGCAGTTTTTTGGCTGTTTATAAGTCGTGAAGATCAATTTTTAGTCTATTTTCATTTGGCATACTAAAGATTTAGCCGTCAAAAGACGGAACGTTGAAAAGATGTGAGAAGCCCATTTTGGGTTGATTTCGGAAAGCTCCAAAAAAAGCTTCTTGTATCTTTTGTATTTTAATCTCGTGCAAAAAGACGTGTGAAAAAACTCACGTCTACTAAACGTACTTCGGACTACTAAGATCTTCATGCAAAAGCTCAATGCATCTTTTACATATCAGAACTACCAAAAGGTCTTTTCAAAAAGGCATACCAAACGGGCCCTAATATTAGCATCAACAACATCTAGTTGTCAATTATCATTAAGCTCGAGTTGTTGTGATTAATGCTACCACCACTCATATTGTTGCTGTTGTCGACCACGAAATTGCTCTCATTACTACTATTTCTTGTAAAATCACTCAAGGTCATGCATTTTACAAAGATGACACGTGGCAACATAATAGGTATGTTGGTGTCTCATTTGTCAAAAGGACATTTGCTATGATGGGAATTAGAACTGATGGGCCAAAAGTTACTAGGTCTGTCAAGAGACTAGGCGTCTGTTTGGCATCGATGCCATTGCTCCATAAAACAATGACACATCAGCACCACATTGGAAAAAATGGTGTTTTAGGAAACGCTTGTTTGTTGGAACGATTTTTTCCTAAAAAGCGGTTCTTGAAGTCATACCTTGGAAATTGGGAAGGTGTGGCTTGGAGCAATGCCAAATTTGGCGTTTCTTGGAGCTGCAACTCATTGCTGTCAATAGGGAAATGAGGTGGCAATGACAGGGACATGATGTGGCACTGGATAATAGGTACTAGTGCTGAATTTGTTTCCTGGAGCATTGGTACCAAACATAACATGTTGTTGTTGCTCTAGAAAACGTTCTACCTGGAAGCAATGTTTTCAAAACAAAAAGGCATTGTTTTCTAAAAAAACGGTGCTGTATCTATAGCATTGATGCCAAACATACACTAGCTAGGCATAATTTGTCTGACCCATATGCCCCTCTTCAAACGAAGCCTATGAAAGGGAAGAGCTGGTATGTTTTAATAAAGTCTTATTATCGATCTGCATATTTGATCATGCCTCTTAATCCTGTAACATAAAAAATTCTTAATGATGAGGTTTATGTAAAGATGAGAAAAAGAATTTGCATTGTCAAGGTTGTTGGTAATGGTGCTCAGTTTATTTGTAGACCATGTTTGAAACAACATTGTATTTATATCTATATATTAAAATGGAATGTGCCAATCTGGCACTTTTCTTCTTTATGGTTTTTTCAACGTCACTTTTTTATTTTTTTTGTTTTTTTCTCAAAAGTACTTATTTTTTAGTTTTTTTTTCTGAATTTTAATTTTAAAATTAAAAAAATACTTAAGTATTGACCAATCACTTTTAAGACTTTTAACACTCATTAAGAACTCAGCCATTACCTCTCTCATTGACTCTTTTAGTAACCTATCCTCACCATTAACTTTCTACTCATTAATAATAATTCTCTTTCATCTCCACTACTCCATTAATTAAATATCACGAAATTCATTAACTTTTATGTATATCTATATCCATTTTAGTTTAACTACAATTTTATAATATATATATATACATTAAATAATAATTATTAGTAAAGATTAATTATATTGAAATTGAGATATTCAATTATATATTATTACGCTAAATAATCTACTTCCATTTAAAATTATAATCCATTTAAAATAAAAATAATTATTAATTATTATTACATGTGGCATTTCTGAACAACTAGACAACATCTTAGCACCAAGTAAGCTGATCACCTTGATAGAACAACTAGTAGTAGTTCGCCTAGGGCTGACTTGTAGTACCTCGGCCTTGCTGGTCTAAGAGTCCTCGATGTGAGAAGCGACCTCCTCAAGGACTTGCCGAGAAGACTAGGGTCCATGTAGCAACTTGCGAGACGTGCTTATCAACCTATTCCTTAACCCTCCTATCAAGACTGACTTCTCTAGGGTAACGACGCTCAACTGTTAAGCCCGCCTACCTGCATAATCCGCATCAGAGTTGATCGAACGAACCTTACCCCTCTGCATGGATCACGTAATTGATTGAGATATCCTCTCCAAACCTAGCAGGAGCGATTTTCTGGGAATCTTAAACTTGTTACAAGGAGCCTCTAGATCGTTACACCTATATAAAGGCATCACTTCCCTGATTATCCACAATTTAGCTCTCGCAACTCTCTAGATCTCTCAATTTTAGCTCTCTCAAAAATCTCCAATTTGCTGACTTAAGCATTGGAGTGCCCATCCCTAGTAAAGCAACTTGGGCACTCTAATACTGTCTCCTTGTAGGTTGCCCTAGTAAACTGTACAGCTCGACATTCAAATCGCCTTCCAACTTGGCATTATTTAGCTAGGCATCCAAGTCACCTTCCAACTAGGAATGTCCAGCTCAACATCCGAGTCACCTGCCACTAAAGGATCTGTCAGATTGCACACCATCAATTTTTGATAAAAATATTTTTATTAATATAGTAAAAAGAATTTAATTAATAAAAGGAATAAGATAAATTAAAAACTAATAACAATTTAAAATTATTATAAAACTAATGCGAAATTATCTAACAATTATTAGTTTTATGATTAATTATTAATAATTTAAAACCAACTTAAGTTCTACCAAAAATAAAAGAAAAATTAATATAGTTAAATAAGGAATTTAAATTTAATAATAACTTATAATAATTAATTAAATTTATTTTTTACTAATTTCAAAAACTTATATAAAATTTTACTTTTAAATATGGTTTAATTATTTTAAAATCAATTTAAATTCCATTAAAAATAAAAAAAAAATTACAAATACTTGCTTGGGTTTTCTAACAATCCTATGAAATTCCCCAATGTTTGGACCTTAACAAAACCTCCTCTATTGTTTTGAAAAAAAAGTGGCAATACTTTCCCTTTGTCATCATTCCAAATTAAAAATGTTGGTTAATTTTGCTTCACTTCAGCCTTTTTGCCTTACTTTGTCCAAGAAGAGTAAGGAGAACTATTCTTTGAAAGTAGTTTTGCAAGATAAATTAGTGGAAGGTAAAGTTAAAACTTTTAATTGTATATGATAATGCATTAACAATGATAAGGGTATTTTGATAATTTCATTGAAGGTATTAGTACTTTCTTTTCAAAACCAGAGGGGAGATCATTGTTAGGGTCAAAACACAAATGTGGTTTGAAGAATTGTTATTTGGATGTTTTTTTTTATAATTTTACCTAAAATTAATACAAGAATAATAATAAATCAGTAAAAATTAATAACTTGTTTTCAAAATAATTAATAAAAATTAGTATTAATATACAAAAAATAGATATTTATCTAGAGCCACTTTCACTAAAGAGCAACTTAGATTGTGATTGGATAAACTAGATATAACCCAAAAAATAATACTTGAATTGAAATTAGATGAACACCACTTAATTGAAAATGTCATAGATCTTCATCCTGAATTTTGCTTATAAATAAAGCAAAATTTATCTAGAGTCACTTTCACTAAAGAGCAACTTAGATTGTGATTGGATAAACTAGATATAACCCAAAAATAATACTTGAATTGAAATTGGATGAGCACCACTTAATTGAAAACAAGCCCTCAACACATTCAAATCACTAAACTTAAATCAAAGTTTTAAAAATCGACCCAAAAATGAAGCCGGTTTGATTTTCAATTTTCCAGTCAGTGGTTCAACTATCAGATTTAAATAGGTCAAATAAGTAAAATTTAAAATAATACAAAGATTTGTCTTTAACCATTTCGACATTTTATTACAAAATAATAATTCAAGGCCAAAACAGAGCGGTTCAATCATCCAATACGGTCCGATTTTCAAAATAGTGGCTTAAATCACCCTTGACACAAAGAAAGGGCATCTTTGTATCTTCACCAACTCCTTAATTATAAGACGCAAGCGTCCTTTTTAAACCATTCAACTGACGGGCACGTAATAAGGTTGGATATCAGCCTGTGAAAAAAAAAATAACGACCAAAGCATTTTCCTAAGGCGGTTAAAAATTAAAAGTCATCATTAATGGCTTAATGCTGATGTTTCTATGCAATAATTTCTTCCCTAGCTAAGTGGGACCCAACCAATGGTCCAAGCTGATCCATTGATTAYACAACACACGTGGCTAGTTATGCAACCCAAGAACGGCCATTAGGGTCCTGTGGCGCTTACGTGCATGGCCATATATCCAGGCCTGTACTATTAAAACCGAAAAGAGTTTCAAAGTTTAGAGAGGCTAAAAGCCTTAAAACTGGGTCAATTACACAGGCTTGGCCCGTTCCAAAGTTTTACTTAGTTCTGCCGTTGAAAGTCAATGTATGAATGCCATGCTGACCAACCAGAAACAGTCCGATATGCCGAACCGGTTCAAGATGTTGAAAGTAAGATGGAATTCCATTCAATTTCTTCGTTCTCTCTCTTCTTATACTCCTCTCCATCTTACCAAGTATAAATGAAGATGAGGCTGGTCTCTTCTCCACCATCTTATCTCGCTGCTGACAACCAAAATCCCACTCAAACCCAATTGCAGAACAACAACCATAACATCGGGAGCCAAATTAAAAAAATTGGCAAACTGTGAGCATCAGGCCATCAGCATAGCATGGCGACCCTTCGAACTTCCGGTCTCCTGTGCTCTTTCTCCTCGTCATCATCTTCACGACGAAGAAGAGTATTGGCTACTCTTAATACCCCAAAACTCCAACCGAGTTCTCTTTTTTTTCCAAAGATCCCAACTACGGACTTGGTTGAAGAATTGAAGTTGAGAAGTGGATACACAACAGCCACAACCATTACCCAGACAGAAACGAAGCCTTTTGACACTAAAGTTGCTACCAATACCACGAGAGATGATCATCAGGAGGTTAACTCCAAGTCTACGGTCATTGCAGAGCTTTATGCAATCATGGAAGCTGCTGCAGACAGGGCGGAGATGCATGCCAACATCCAGAAGCAGCGGAATAACTGGAACCACCTCCTTCTCACCTCCATTAATACAWTCACCATCACCGCTGCAACGATGGTCGGGCTGGCAGCAACAGYTGGAACGGGAGCACCACTTGCCGCACTAAAGCTCTCATCTACTCTATTATATACGGCAGCTACTGGGATGTTGCTGGTGATGAACAAGATTCAGCCATCGCAACTCGTAGAAGAACAACGCAATGCGACAAGGCTATTCAAGCAACTTCACGGGCAAATCCGAACAACTCTTACACTTGGTAGT